AGAACTGAAATGTAACTAAAACATATAGTTACAACTATCTGTGGACTCAATTAGCTCTTTATATTTTTTGCAATACTGCAAACAAGATTTTAAGGTGGGGCGGGGCGAGACGGGGCGTGGCGGAGTGGTTCCCATCACGGGCCACGGTGCGGACAGCGGACAGGTCGCGGGTCGGCTCGGCGCCGGCTGTTTAGCGGATACGTGTTGACGAATTAATTCGATAGTTTTATTAAGCAGATGATGTACATTTAACACCGAAAAGAACGAATCTATCATGTGCCTATAATTTGAAAGAATTATAATGGGTCATCAGCTTGTACAGGTCCAGCCTCTCTGCTCGCTTGTCCCATCCGTATGCCCCGCCATCCGTCCGAGCGCGTATCACGCTCATGATCATGTTGCTCTTAACACCCCCCCCCCTCCCGCTCGCGCCCGGGCCCGGGCCCCCCTCTCCCCTCCTCTCTGCTGCCAGGCCACCGGATTGGAAGCAAGCCATAAACGAATGACGAATGCGAGTTGACAGGTGACAATGCGCGGACTTTTAACAACGTTCTTCGCTTTGCACTTTTCGCTAGAGAGTTAATATTTGGGACAGATCTACTTTAGACTACCCATTGAACTTGAACTTGAACCCATCACCGCAGTGTATTGAGCCACACGAGGCGCAGTACTAGTCTACGCGTCCCACGTGCCCTTAAAATTTGCTGAATTTTAAATAAAATCTTAGTTCTATTTCAGCATTTTCTCGGCTGCTGTACAGAACACTTTCTTTGCGCCAGTATCATTTGTGTGTCCATGTCTCAGTTGGGGTGCTATGGCTATCGAAGCAGGACTTGTCTCTGTACCAACCGGACAGCTTTTTTTTTTTTCAAACAAACAAAAACAATTTCTGCGCTTTCCTCGTGTATGCCGGCATGCGCGCATAATGAGGCCCCATGGAGCTAGTTATGCTCCTTTCCGTTTCATAATTACTCTCCAATTTATTGTTTGATTATTCAACGCAAACAATCTCAACCACGAACGCGATTTACAAGGATTTTAAGGTCAGTGATTAAATGTGCACGTGCTAATCACTTGCGTAACTAACTCGCACTCACGTCAATGGGTATGCAAAGTTTGAACATTTCACACACGTTTAGCAACCGCAACCGCCGGGCGACGCTAGGAGCCTGACGGGTAGACAAGCCCGCTGGGCCCCGGTGCCCTCGCGTTGCCACCGGGTGCCCCCTGTCAGTTTGTATGGGGCAGG